TCTTACATTTTAAAAAAAGTTTTAAATTTTTTTTAACTTTTTTTTTTCAAGTGGAGGCACTGAGGATTGAGCCCAGTATTCCGTGCATGCTTATTAGCATGTGCTCTGCCACTGCGTGATACACCCCCGCAACCCCCCCAAATCTTACGTTTTCATGCTCTCGCCTTGCTTTGGTGGTTGCTAAGTGGAGGGGTGAGTTAACTAAATACAAGTGAAACTTCTGGTTAACCTCTGACCTATCCATTGATGAGCCGGGCTTGTTTGGACAGAAGTCGTCCTAAAACATGGTCAGGGACTGAAAGAAATGCAGCGTTGTGCTCTGGAAGGGAGGGAGGAGGAGCTGGGCAGCTCAGGTGGGCCTTGTTGAGGAGTTGGCTGTTGTCCTCAGGGCTTGTGAGAAGAGTTGAGGGTGGGGGTAGGGGGATGACAGGCTCAGGTTTAAATTTAGAGAGACACCCCCTGGCTGCCCTGGAGGATGCATCGGCAGTGGGGCTGATTGAGAAGATTGGTTCTTGGGCTGATGCTGAAGTCCAGACAAGAAGCGGTGGTGACGAGGCCTGGGGTGACAGAACCAGGACTGGGGAAGGGCAGGCACAGATGACATGACTGCTTGCGGGGCTTGGTGGCTGATGGATTTGGGGGTGAGGCTTGGTGGCTGATGGATTCGGGACGAGGGAAAAGGCTACAGAGATCCACCTGACCCAGGTTTTGAGCATCTGTGGGATGGTAGGGCAGTTTGCTGAGTTTGTGGGAGAAAGGGAGAAAGAAAGATGTTTTCGGGTAGCAGTGGTGGGCAGGTGAACTTTCAGTTAGGGTGTGTTGGGTTGAAGGATTGTTGGCATCTGAGAGGAGAGTCCAGGAGACGCTTGGGCATGTGGAGTAAGGTCAGAATTCAAGGAGATGCAGTGCTCGCTCCAGCAGCACATGTGCTAAAATTGGAATGATAGAAGATTAGCATCGCCCCTGCACAAGGATAACACGCAAATTCGTGAAACGTTCCATATTTTTTAAAATATTATAGCTATACTAGGAAGGCAGAGATACAGTAATAAATTACAGTAATTTTGAAAAAAAAAAAAAGGAAATGCAGATTTGTTGTTGGCCAACTCCTGAGCATAGCCTTGGGTTGGGTGCCAGGAAGGCAGGGCTGACCACTGTCTTCCTTCCATGGAGCTCCTGGAGCGGGGGAGGGGACAGGTGTTTAAGTCGTGATTGGGGTCAGGGTTCTGGGCTGTGACAAGACCACGGGACTGATAGCTGTGCTTGGGTGTGGGGCAGGGAAAGCTTATCAGAAGAAGAGCGCTGGGAGTGGGGGTGAGACACATGCAAAGGTCCACATGGGGCCAGGCACATTTCACAGGCATCGTTGTCCCTGTTAGCACATGCTGAAGAAGCTTGGCTTCTCATCTTTTGGAAGAAGGAAGCCTTTTTGGGAAGGGTTAATGCTTTTTGAGTGCTTTCCCAGTCGGTGGGTCTCCATGGATGTGAGTGGTCAGGTCGGGTGTCCTCTGGGTCCGGCTGGGCGGGCGAAGCAGCCTGATGCGTGAGTCCCGCAGATGCGGCTGGCTCTCGGGGTTAGAGGTGCCCCAGCCCCACTCGCAGAGACTCAGCCCGATGCCACCTCTGGGTTTCTGCCGGCTCAGCTGTGGCCCTGTGCTGACGGGCTCTCCTGGGACAAGATCATTGTGCTCCCTCCCTGACGGCAGACTTGCCCAGGAAGCGAAATCGAGGGCAGCAGGTGAGTTGCAGAATTGGAACAGGCTTGGACGTGCCCTGGTGAGACGGGGCCAGGACCGGCTGTCGCCGGGCAGGGCCCTCGCTGGGACGGACACTGCCCGTGTCCTCCTGGGTGCTCACCACCCTTCGCAAAGGCACGTGCTTTCGCTGCCGCTTGCTTCCCTTCAGCCCGGCCTCACAGCTAGCCTGCGTCTGTAAGGCAGCCGGCACTGAGGAGCCCTGAAGGGCCAGACGGCCAACAGATGGGTTTTGTTTGGCTTGCATGGTGCTTTTTAAAGTGTGAATTTGTTGCTAATACAAAAAAAAATCTAATTTCATGTGAAAGTCTCGATTTCCAGCTTCTCTGGGAAACCTGAAAGGCGTGGCCGGACTGGGCCTTGGCCTGGCGGGGTTGAGGTTCTCCCCGAGGTGGGCCGGTGCTCGGGCTTGTCCCCACGGGCCTGCCCTGCTCAGTTTCACCCCTTTCTGGAACTTGCTCTAAGGGAGCTACAGCAAATCAGTGTTATCGAAGTGCAAGTTACATACAACACAACACATTGTGCTAAGTGTACAGTTGGGTGACTTCATCCCTCTTGAATTGTTTGTAATGGTTTCTGAGTTGAACCCCCAGAGGGCAGTCTTGCTCCTCTTTCCAGGTTTTGGGGGGCACTGTACTGGTGCTACTTGGTTCGCTGAGTACCCCATTGTCTCTGTTTGGGTAACATAATACAAAATACCACAGATTGGGTAGCTTACAAACAATGGAAACTTATTTCTTACAGTTCTGGAGGCGTGAAGTCCGAGATGAGGATGCGGACACGGTAGGGCGAGTGCCTTCTAGGTCATGGACTTCCCATTGTGTCCCCACATAGTGGAAGGGGTGAGGGGTCTTTCTGGAGCCTCACTGCTCCCGTTCCTGAGAGTTCCACCTCCAGGACCTTACTTCCTCCCACAGGCCCCACCTCCTAATCCCATCACCTTTGGGGCTTAGGATTTCAACATAGGAATTTTGGGTGGACGCAGATAATCAGATATTCAAATGCATATTGCTAGGTGCTTTAACTGCTCTCAGCTCACTCCTCACCTTCGCCTT